TAGTCTGCGCTTGTCCTTATCTTTTTCCCGTCCATGTTTTCTACCGCGTAGTCTATATTTAGATCATGTATCACCAACTGGTGCAATCATCCGCTTTGATCAGCAGTATGCACGAACGATTAACCATATTTTTTTTCTTCTTCTACAATTTTATTAGCGGTTCGAGTGTTTGACGAAGCTAGCTGAGTCTTTTACTTTGTTCTTTTTAGTATCACTGTTGAGTACAAACACTTTCTCACCACTTCCGGTTGAAACTTACAGAACCACCAACCAGGAGAACAGGTTTTTCATACATTCGCCATTTGTTTGAGGAACATCGATCATGGCCGAGCTTTCGTCGCGCAGGGCCATATTGCTGACTTATGTGCTTGGCCACAACAAAAGGTCTCATTCGCACATATTTGACAATGCTTGGCACAATCACGTAAATTTTATTAGGTCAGTCTCCGCATTTTAAGAGGTTAATGAACTTACGGTGAACATTGCCGTGGAAGTTTCGTATCCTCCCCCACACAATAGTAAAATAATTGTTTCTTGGGACGTTTTATACAATATTGACTGTATATATTTATTCTCATTTTTACGATACGTGTTGAAGCCGAACCAAAACAGATGAACGAGCTCCAATGGAAAAGTTGGGTTGAGTATAGTGTGGTAAACGACACACTGGTCTACCGTGAGTGCACATCCAAAAACATCCTACCTCGAATCGAGGCGAGCATTTTGTGTATACACTGTAGTGACACCTGAGCGTCTCGTGTAACGAAGGTGCTTTCACCCTTTAAAAGAGACACTGCAGTGTCAACGAGGCACATTAAATAGTAGATATTTATGACTTGGTGCTTATTTATGGTAACTTACAGCACCATGTGTATCGTTACGTTTCGCTCATTCCGATATGGAACAACATGGTCGGCGCATTGCCATGCGAACGCCACCAGAACATTGTTCTGTTCTTCTATAACTGTTTTGCTGAGGAGTGTATGAGGTTCATATTACCCATAATACCCTTCACCCTTATATATAAAGTAGAGTGGCCTACCGAATGTCTAACTTAAACGACTTGTGTGTTTTAAATAACACATTTCAACGTGCATGTGCCTTGATATGTATTATTTGGCATACGTAATATATTACAATGGTAAAGTGCTCACTTCTCCACTAAATAGGAATTACAATGATTTACGGTGTAGTATGCGCCGTGTAATTAGCACCTGTAATATTTGCCCCAAGAGTATTCTAAAAACGTTCTTTTTATGAAGGCCGCTCTTCAAGCTTTCGCGGTGTCTGTGCTGTGCCTTCCGAGTAGGCCATGGCCGTTTTTTTTTTCTTAGACGAGCTGGCATCTTAGTGACGTAAAAGTTCTTTTGGAGTAAAACTTGAAGATAGAGAGTATGAAGTACCACTTAACATCTTTCTGGCACGATCACCTATTTTAACAAACTTGGAGGTGATAAAAATGGTATCAGAAAAAGAAAACAAGAGTGGTAAAACAGCCAGAAAAAAATGTGTAATTTTTTTTCGACTAAGTATAAGTGGTTCGTTGTATTCAACGCTTTTTGCTAGTCGCAAAAAAAACAAAAAAAAAACCGTGAGCAGTGCCTAAATTCTATCACGCAAAGCTGTTAAACTCATTAATGGGCAATCCATATTACATGAGTGCGGAGGACGTACTGTGGATGTTGTGAAACCATTCGGCCTTCCATCAAAATGAACAGGCTCACTCATATCCGCTGCTTACCCGCAGCAATGCGGCTAAGCGGTAAGTTACGAGAACTATACACCCCGTGAAATGACGACTCGACGGAAACTACGAAGCAGAAAGAAATGAACATGACAGCGCCAAGCTTTTCACTTTTGTGAAAGCGAGTACCACAGAGGTTACGTGATTCATAGAACAAAATGTGACGAGAAAGAAGTTAACGCTACTAATTCAGCTGGACGCTAACGCGTGAGTTAGAAGTCTTGCGTGCGTGCAACTATGGATTAGAGACCAAAGTGAATAATTCTTGCAGATATAATCGGGCCGATGGTGCTCAGATATAACAACGCGTCGCAATGGTGTACGTTGCTAAGAGAACATCTGTTCAAATGAAGCCTGGGCTCGGCAGATTCCGAAGTTAATCACTGAGGATAGTTTACCGCTGTCCCTCTAGTGTACAAGGCTAATATATCGCCAGCACTAACCTATAGATAGATAGATAGATAGATAGATAGATAGATAGATAGATAGATAGATAGATAGATAGATAGATAGATAGATAGATAGATAGATAGATAGATAGATAGATAGATAATGCCCAACGGAATGCGCGTACACTCCCAAATTCCACAGACTTAAAACAAAGCTCGAGAGATCCCAAGCTACTCATTGTATATCTATGTAAGCGTTTAGGTTTTATTACTGGCGCACTGTATGAAAGTCGTTTTGCTGATACGCTCAATGACCCATGTTACAAAATGACACATGAATCTTCTTACAATGACTGTTCACCTGAACGTATATGGCGTGCCTCAATTGGCTGTTTCTTTTTGTATCTTTGTGTATGGGTGACACACGGCTAAACTATAAACTATTAGTTTATTTCAACTGAGTCCGCAGAGATTGAAAACTGCAGAGTTTGATATATATATATATATATATATATATATATATATATAGATATATATATATATATATATATATATATATATATATATATATTAACGTCCTTGCCTTTGTTTCCTCGCTCCTGTTCCTTTTTTCCTGGCGGACAGTACTGGTGGCGGGTGGGCAGGATCAACGCGTCAGTGTTAAGCGATGGACAGCCGGACTTGACGATCCACCCACATGCCTTAATATTCCGTGTCTGTCGTGAGTAAAGGAGAGGCACGAGGCGCGTGTCGAACGCGGCAGCACGCGCGATGGTACGCGAGGCGCGAAGACAGTAGCCACCCGAGTGCACGCGCACCACTCACGTAGACGCAAGCAATTGGTTGGAAAAAGGCTCGTGGCACGCGACCCGACCAGTGAGAAAAAACCCCAGAAGATGAGCTGGCATTGTGCGTTGGGACGCCGAGCTGCGAAAATGTAGAAAACGAGCGTCGCTACGGCGACGGGAGCAGCATGACCGCTTGGTTCTGAGGATGTCGGCGTGAGAGGCTCGGGGTGTCGCCATCGACCTCAGAGGTTCCGAGTGAAGCTGCCCGCACTTGCCGCACCCTTGCTCAGCAGTTCCTGGTCGACTTGCAGCTCTCCCACTTCACGGCAGGAAGGCGATAGCCCACACCTATCAGCAGAGCGGACTCGCCATCAAGGCAGTCCATGACGAGACTAAGCCAGCCTGCCGAAGCGTAAGAATATGACGAAGTCCGGGACACCGGCAACGGCGACGAGTGGTTCGTTTGGCGGGACCAACTGATGGCGACCGTAAAGGGTTGAGGAGAAAGTCAACGACGTACGTGACAAATCTCGGCACAGCATCGGAGAGAGGCCGACGGGAACCGTAAGATCGATCGATGGTTGAGACGTCATATTGAATCAGAAGCAGTGGATAGGGCAAAGAATGGATTTAGAATGATGTGCAGATTATTTTGCTTGTACTGTTGTTCGGGTAATTTTAAGTCTGCCAGGGTTGGTTTCGTTTTCGCTTTCAATTTTCTGCCTTTTATCTTTGGGTTACAAACCGTTTGTTGTTTTTGCTACGCCCGTCTCCCGACTCACTCAATTCCATCCGATTCAAGCACTCTTGAAATAAATCCGTAACAGAGTAAATAACGATGTCCTCAGTCAAAATCCAGAACAATTCCGTGTTTTTATCTTTTCATTTTTTATTTTTAATTCGTAATACCCTCCGGGTCAAAAGCATTTTGGAGGGAGGTGACGCAACTTTTTACTCATACAATGTTAAGTATTAATAAAAGCTTGATAAATAACTAAAACATAACAAAATATAAGCATTGTGTTTAACCAGAACGGGTAAGTGTTGGTGTTTATACAATGCTAGTTAGCGCAGAACGAAACAAGTGATGATCGGTCAAGATGACCACAGATCCGGGAAGAGGGTTCCAGTCTACTGATGTTCTGGGAATAAATGAATGGCTGCATGTTGTGGTTAGACAAGACATAACAGCAACTTTATTAGAATGAGTAATTCTAGATTATACGCAAAAAGGCTGAAAAATAAGTGCCTCGCGAAGAGTTGGAATATGATGATAAATTTTGTGAATTAAATAGAGGCGGAAGATATTACGACGAGAAGCAGAAGACGGCATTTCGAGTGAATTTTTCATGACAGAGTAAATTTTTCATGGCAGCTAAAACCGATAAATTCCATAAAGAATGTGTCGCTCTTCGTCCTCCGCTGTCAGACCGACGTACGTGTGCCTTACTTCACCTAACCAATTCTATTTCTGCTATTGATATTCGCAAAACACATTATGTTTCCCCAAGTTCTATGTGCATGAAAAAGTTCGTTTTCGACAATGACATTCGTATCTCATTGAGAAAAATCATATGGTTAGAATTATACTCAGTGCCGCACTAGTATACCTGTTACGGGTCATTTATTCTCAGGAATTTTTAGAAAGTAAACAACTTTCCCGGCGCAGTTGTTGGAAAAAAATAAAACGCCAAGTCTTGGAGACAACGCAAGGACAACGCAAAGTTTCAGCCGCAGCAGACACCATCCCGCTTTGTCGTCTCTTAAAAAGTTATCATTTGCCTCACTGTTGTCTGTTTGTGTATTTTCTCAGCCGCTCCTCTCTGTTAGAGGACAAGAAAAGTTCAAAAGAGAAGTAAAAAACCATTCTGAAACCACTGCCCTCAGAGTCGTTCGAAACGCTCGGCGAATCATTGCGTCCCGTTATGACAGCTGCGGGTGGAACAATCGCCTAGAGCGTTTCGAGCGAAACCACACATCACACCTCCAGCGCGAATCATTGCAAAGTGCGAACAGGCATTTTTTTTCTTTCCTGTTACTTTTTTTTTCGTTTGTACCGAGCAAACGTAGTGCACCCACCTCGAAGACAGACGTGACGCGAAGCTTGTAGAGCACAGGGATGATGACGAGCGTGACGACGGGCACAAGAAGCGGCGCCGACACCAGGCTCCAGGCGTAGTGGAATCCGTGCGCATAGTAGTGTGCCCCGAAGCCGATGACGCCGATGGCCGAGATCATGGAGGCCAGCACGGACACAGCCAGTGGCAGCGTGCCCATGCTGCGGCTTCCCAGAAACACCTCGTCGGCCGTGGACACCTTGCGGGCCCGCCGCGAGAAGGCGAAATACAGGCCCAGACCCAGGTTGGCCGCCATCAACACGCCGAACGTGATGTGCTCCACGTTCACGACCGACATTTCTTCCGCAGTTGTGCTAGGTGGTGACGAGGATCGCTGTGACGTTGTCGAGAGGAGTAAAGTTTTAGCGGACGACAGCGATCGCGTTCACAGTCAGCACCGCAAAGGCCCAGCTGCGTCTTTGGCCACCTGCGACGTGCTGTTCGCTTCATTTATGAACCACACAGACGAGCGAATACTGGCGCTGCCCGCGTTGTTCACCGTGCGCAAAAATAAGTAAATGATGAGCGAAATGCGCTGACAAAAAACATACGGAGTGTCAAGCATGGCCGTGATTTGGTCGTTTTTTTTTGTTTATATAAAAGGCATTCCGGTAAAACGACGAGTGGGTGGAGTGCGAGACAGGTGCACTGAACTTAACCACGCCAAAGAGGACGTTACAGACGTATAACTGTTTACCTTTATATACTTGTATGTATGAATATACATTTTTTGAAGGACATAACATAATCAGCTGGCTGTCCTGGTACGCTCGCATCAGTTCTTGTCTGTGTGCCTGTCTGTGCGCGTGTCCCTGGTAGGAGGAAAAGGGATACGCAAGGAAAAGCGGAAAGCTTAGCCAGTGTAAATGCCGGCCCGCTACGCTGCAGTGAGAGTGCGTTTATTTTCTGTATGACGCGCATCTGCATGAAGAGGTGCATTTTTTCCAACTTCGAGCAGACTCGCGTATATACGCACATGATGCAGTCACTGTGAATATGACAAAAACTGGTGCACTTTCGCCCTATAGGGGTGCGAAGACTGAGGAAAACAGCGTATCACGTGGCATTCTCCACCCCTTTTTTCTCCTGCTCACCCTTTCTTTTCCTTCATCTCCCCTCGATATACTTTATAAGATAGGTATGCCATGTTTCCCCCCTTCTCTTCACATTTCTCACTTTCCTTTCCCTCCTCTTTGCTACACTTTTCTATTCAAGGTTCTGTTACGCTTCAACAACTCCCTTCTCCCTCGCCAGCACATTGCTACCCTAACTGGTTTTGAGAAATGTTAGCATCGTTTTTAGGCCTGTTTTTGGAACATGATCTCGAGCGTGTCCATGCGACATACGTTGCGTGGACACGCTAAGCCAGGCCGCTACACAGGCCCGCTCTTAGAAACGGAAGATTCTTGTGGGAAAAAAGAAACATAACGCTGCCACACAACATAAATGGGGAAAACACAAAGACACTGCCACAATTCAGATTTTTGAAGAGTTCCACACCATGCGAATAATCTAACATTAGACAAAATTTCTGCATCGACATTTAGGCAACAATGCCACTCAAGTCTTGGTCAGTGAGCTAGTGATAGATTCCATTATTTCTTTTGCTTTTCTGGAGGGCACAACTCTAACCAAACTACAAATCTCGCTCGTTCCACGGCCGTTAATTTTAAAAATCAAATAATTAAGAAGATTTGATTGATTGATTGATTGATTGAGAGACGCCGTAGTAGAGATTGATTGATTGATATGTGGGGTTTAACGTCCCAAAACGACCATATGATTATGAGAGACGCCGTAGTGGAGGTCTCCGAAAATTTCGCCCACCTGGGGTTCTTTAACGTGCAACCAAATCTGAGCATACGGGCTTACAACATTTCCGCCTCCATCGGAAATGCAGCCGCCGCAGCCGGGATTCGATCCCGCGACCTGCGAGTCAGCAGCCGAGTACCTTAGCTACTAGACCACCACGGCGGGGCAATAATTCGGAAGCAATCTATGCACTGTTACATTGCATTAAACTGTTGTCAATTCAGTCGTATTCGGCAGCCACATGTATACCCTGGCGACTCACGGAGAGCAGCGACCACGAAGCGCCACAAATGTGCAGCATATGTGACGCAAACGAACGAAAATGGCGTGGCAGAACTACTGGACCAAGGCGGCACAGTATGCATCGCCATAGTCGTTAGAGTGAATCGCATGGTAACGACAGTGACGACCTTTCTGGTTACCACGTTTCAGGTTAGTTGAGACAGGGAGGTGTTGAGCCGTGGCCACATTGCGAACAAAGTCGCGAGTGGCGAAAACTGGTTTTTACAGTGCTATTACGCAAAGCACAGGACTTTCGTATTCATCAATGTTTTTCTCTTACTTTTATAGGCATAACGTTCCCAAACCACCATATGATTATGAGACTCGTCGTAGGGAAGGACTCCGGAAATTGTGACAACCTGGCGTTCTTTAATGTGCACCTAAGTCTAAAAACACGGGCCTTGAGCATTTTCATCTCCATCCAAAATGCGGGCACCGTGGTTGCGATTCGATACTGCAACCTTTAGGACAGCAGTGTCGGACACCGTGGTGGGTTCCATGTTCATGCAGAAAAAGAAGTGTATTGACACGATGGACGTTTGTTGTTTTCTTGGCGCTTTCGATAATTCGGGAATCGGTTATTTCAGTTTTTTTTTCAGTCCCGCGAAATCCTAAGTAAGAATCTTTTACTGTACAGCGAAGCAATGGTTACGCAGTTGGACCGGTTTCATTCTGGGAGAACTGACCTTTGTCCAGGGCGACGTACGGGTCAAGTTACGTGAGAACTAGGTATCGTGCTTGATGACACCTTTCAGGGTGCGACAAGTAACGCGGTTTTACAACAGTGAGTTATACTTGAGCCAGTACGAGGTGTAGTGCCTGAAAACTCAGGATAATACAAATGAAAGAGGTTTTAAAAGATGTCCAGAAGGGGGATATGGAAGCTTCCAATCGAAAAATCCCTAAACGGTGTGTGCGGGGTAACCAACGTTTTTACAGGCGGGCTTGTCTTCATCAAGGTTGCAGCCTTAAAGAGGGCAAGCCTGCCTGTTGAAATGTCGGTTATGCACATGCACCCTATTAACAAGTTTTTTTTTTTTTCACCGAAATAGATGAATTGAATATTTTAACAGAAAAGTTACTGTGGAGGGCTCGGTAGAGCTTAATCATGGTTCATGGGTGACGATAGAGACACCCCCCCTCCACCCGAATAAAAGAAGTATCGAGAACGCGAGTGCACTCGAAATTGTACTGCCACGCGTATTATGTGGATGTGCTCGATTTAAACACACGAAGATTGTGAGCAATACCAGGCGCACATCGCGTCTCAGTGTTTGAGAACACTTCTCTGTCAGTGCTAATGTGTATCGCTGTTATCTGGCCTTCCGTTTACCGGCCACGAGTGTGCCCTAATGAACAGCTTCATCTTTTACAGACGGGTCCACTGTTAAAGGGAACACCTGCGTGAGAAGCATGTTCTGATTTGGCTATTTTAGGGGAATCATAGCGGCTTAGATATGCATAAGACTAGTGGTGGTTAAAAGTTCCGATTTCTCTTGACAGACTATTGATTTGCATGAAGAATGTTTCTTCATCCACTTGCTCTTAGAGGGCCAGGAGTATTGATGGTGTGCATTCGAGTGTTCCCTTTAACAGAGGGGTATACTGTACATACATTCTGCTACCTTAGTTCATATCATTACCACATGACAATACCGAGATTACAGACACGAAGGTCATCCGCCTAAGCAAGTGTAACTTAGCTATGTCGCATTTAATTTATTCCGTTCCTGGAAATATATATTTTTCTCTATAAGAAGCAGCGTAAAAGAGTTTACCACCTTGGTTACCATTGACAAACGGTACAATCATGTCATCAAAGAAATAAAGTCAATACTGTGTTCTAATTTGGATGAACCACATTTTCGGTGCAAGGACGAAACCATGAACGTAATAGCAACAAATTGGAATGTTAATGAAGTGACGCTGCGAGCTGAGTCCATTGAATTAGATTTCGCATAAATACGAATTGTTCTGTAAGGTAATGTACCACTCCAGGTAGAGAAATGATTTTTATTCAGTCTGTCATTTCAGTGATAAATGGGGAGAACATAGTATACGTAAAGGGTATACGATCCGTTTGATGTCTACCAGCATAGCAACTAAGTATGAAAAGCCTTGTAATGCCAGGTGTCTACTTTGATTTTGTTTTGTCTCGACCCGACATGAAGCTTCTGAAGTAAAAAATTTTGTCGATTAACGTCATAATAACTGACATTGCTCAATGTTGCTCCCATAATGGAGGATGCAGCCCAAAATCGTACAGTGTGCCGAGGAAGCCCAATCGAGGTACGTGAAACTCCTTTCTGCTGCAGCTACCACAACAATCAGAGTTACCTTCGAACTACGCGACAAAAACATCGTAAGGAAAAAGACACATGCTTTGCGCCACGAGAAGAAGACTTGGCTAAGACAGGAACTTCAAGGCATGCTAAATGTGGTCATTCTTAGACCACCCACAACTTCGTTTGCGTTGCTGATTAAGATCGTGCATAAAGAAGATGGACCATTCCGGTTATGCACAGACTACAGACTCATCAACTAGCAGACAGACTTGTTTTCTTTCCTAAAGCCAAATATCGGTTAGATAATTGGTGAAACTGGCGAGTTGAATGGTTCTCCAGAATACACTTGTGTAATGGATATTGGCAGGTGCCACTGGGGGAAGATACAAAGAAGTTCACGGCGTGCAAAAGAGTTGACTGTTGGGTAAGTTTGTGGTTTGAAATGAAAACCATCTTGAGAGTGCAGCGATACACGATACACACGTCCTCGTCTTTTTCTTCTTGTGTGTCATGTTTTGTTGCGCTCTCACGATCGTTTCAATGTTACAGCGTTCGTTGCACCATTTGATGTGTTACGAATATGTTTGGCTCCCGTTCGGCTGGAAGAATTCTTGTGTATTTTTTTTTCAGAAAATGATCAACTATGTACTGAAATTGGGAGTATCCGTAGTGTGTACGTTGACGACAATTATGGCTGTGTGTCATGTAAATCATGACTATGTGCTGCGCTCATAATGCGCTCACGGATGTTCCGCTACCTTCGCATATACCAAATATGGTGTTACCTGACCAGAATGAATGGCGAAGGCATACGACTGATGAAAGCATCAGAATAATGACATGCGTGTCATGTAAGAACATGGCCAAATGACACGCTCATGATATGCGCTCGCGGCCTTTTCGCTAGCTCGACATGTACCAAATTGGGCATTACGTGGCGCAAACTTCTGACGAAGGTAACTAACACATCCAAACATAGTCATGACATGCATGACATGTAAACATGACTGTATACTAAAGTCATGGCGTGGTCAAAGCCCATTCGCTA